CCCTGTCCAGAGCGGGGTGGCCCTGGGTCCTGCAGATTCACACACACACACACACACACACACCCTGTCCCGTCCCGGCGCCCGGGTCCGCCTGCTGCCCCAGCAGATGGTGCCCCTTCCTGCGGTTCTGAATGACGGCCGCGGCATTTCCACTCCCGGCCCTGCCTCGCAGCTTCCTCCCGGGGGCAGAAGTGATAATAGTCACAGTTTTGACAGGTGGGGGTGGGGAGAGCCATATGCTGCCTGCTGGTGGGTGTCTATCTATAGAACAGCCACTACACACGCTGGCGCGGTGTAGTATTATGCAATGAGATGGGACGCGCCACCAACGGGCGGACGGCGGCATGGCCCCCAGATTCCAAGCTTGTCACTGGGAGGGACGCCAGCTGGCCTTTCTCAGCCCGCAGTCCATCCCCTGAGCACAGCACCGGGGGCTGTTTCTTAGGGGGATGGCATGTAGCGAGAGCCGGGGTCCTCGGCTAGTTGGGCTCAGGATCGCGCTCCAGAGAGCGTTCATCTTCCGCTGGGGAATGGGGGCAATGTCTCAGGCAAGATTCTTCTTTGTTGGTGTGGTTTTGGGGTTTGGTTGTTTCCCCCCTTAACTCGCATGAGTGGGTTCGACCTTCCTCTCCAGGGGGGCTGAGGAGGCTGGCGGGGTGGGGGTTAGCCAGGAACTCCAGGCCTGGGTACTCAAAGCAGCTATCCTGCAAGGACCAGGGTATTTGGGACCAGAGTCCATCATGTTTGGGGAAGTCAAGAACAACAGAAGCCTATGTTAAGTCCTGTTTGGTTCCTGCAAAGAATTACATGCATTGACTTTCTGTGTGCACTGCATTGGAAGGCTGCCATGGGGAGCAGAAGCCATCGGAAGATTAAGATTTTGCCTTGGCTGGCCCTCAAGTGAAGGGACAGGTTCTCTCAGGCCCACCTGCTGCGGGTGGTGTGCAGGTCAGCAGGAGGGAAGACAGACACCCGCCTTCATTGCAGGAAAAGGGCCCCGTGCTGTAATGGAACCCTCTTCCTGCCTCTTTCTCATCGAGAGAGATGAGGGACCCAAGGACAAATGCTAGCGTCCACACAGACACGGCCTGAGCCGCTGATATCTTGGTTTCTGACAGGAATTCTTCTAGAAGCTCCAGGATGCCTCACAGCCAGCCAGTTAGAGAGGCACTAACGCCGTGAAACCTCCTTCCCTGGCAGCAGAGGAGGCATGTGTGCCTGCGAGAGACACACACACACACACACACACACACCATGAAGGCAGGCTCCTCTTGTCCTTCCCACTTCACGGCTAGAAGGGAAACATTAGCTAGGATCTGAATGACTCTTTGACGACTTTGGGTCACTTTAATTTGGAGTAAAACTGATGTGTAAGCACAGGTCATCATCTGGGGGTGGGGCCGGGCAGGAGAGAGTCAGCCTTGCTGTGGATGGAAAGCTCCAGACCCACGGTAACTGGCTGTGAGCCTAGGGACCCCTGAGCACTGGCTGCAGGGGCTGAAGGACTGCATGCCAGAGAGGCACATGTCCTTAGGACAAGGCCCTCTCCTGAGACCTAAAAATAAACTGCCGGGTATATCCCTTTAAAAAGAAAGAGCCATTAAAAGGTAACTAATTTGAAGTGTCACCTAGGCAACGGGGAAATAACTTAGGGATGTAAGCCACCCAGAAGGGAAGTAGAGATCCCCATGATAGAGGCATCTAAACTGGAGGATCTAGCCTGCCGGCAAAATGAGCCCCAGGGACGGCACCTGGAGGCTTCCGTCCCCGCAGTGGACTCCATGAGTAGACAGGCCTATGAAATTGTCCAGTCGGTTGTCCCAACAGCCCACAGGCCTACACTGGATCCCACCTCCACAGGAGGGAACAGAATCCACTTTCAGAAGAGAAACACCTTGAAGCATCGCTTGGCAATCTTGTCAGTAAACACTCCTGCAAGTTCATCCTCAATTTCTTGTGCTGCAGTCTGTTACAGAGACTTAGAACGCATCAAAGTTAGAACATCAAGTTTATTCTACGTAGCTGTCCTATGTGCATAGGAGACCATTTTTTATTTTTAAAAAGGCTCCAAAGAGTTAGGCACCATGGGGCTTATACAGAGAGGAGAATGATAGCACCATCGGCTAATCTGAGCGTTGACTGAACCCTGCCAACAAATTGTGCCTGCCCCTCCACGGCCCTTCTGATCATTTGAAATTCAAATTTAGTGGTGATTCAAAGCTAGTCAACCTGGTTCCCAAGCGGGAGCCTTGCTGATGTACGTACGGCTCACAGTTCTGTTCCATAGGTTCTCTGTGAGCCAATGGCAGTGCGTTTTCAAGTTGGCTGTTGTAAAGACTTCGTCTGTGCTATAGGAGGCCTGGCGATGTAGGCAGTTACAAGCTGGGCTGTTAACTGCAGGGTCAGCAGTTCAGATCCATCGCTTGATCTGCAGGAGAAAGATGAGCCTGTGAGCTTCAGCCACTCCAGTGGCAGTTCTGCGCCGTCCTATGGGCTTGCTATGAGTTGGAACCAGTGGCAGTGAATTCAGGTAGAGTCACTCTGAGTCAGGTTGGCAGGGTGCGGGGGCAGGTGCAGGGGTTTAGGCTTCAAACAGTAAAGACAGGATTTACAACTTTGGATGAAAAAAGCTGTTGGGGGAGTCATTTGGGCCAGGGGGTTCTTTATCACGACTATATGGTTTTCTGGTTAAGAACTCCCACCCCCAGCTCAAAGCAAGATCCCTGCTCTCAGTTTCTCTCTTGGACAAGCCTTAGCTTAGAGTCCATTCCTGTTGCTATGGTTAGCCTTTGCAAAGAGACAGTTGAGGGTAGCTGAGCAAGGTCCTGATTTGAATGTGCAGAGAAGGGAGACCTTTGCCTCTTCCTCTTCCAACCAAGGAAACATCTATTCTAGGAAAGGGGGAGGAAAGTCTGGCCCTCTGAGAAGCATAAACTGTGAGGCCTACCAAGGAATCCATCAGCTCACACTGGGCAGCGTACAGGGGGAACCATGATGTGCTCTGACGAGCTGGAGCCAGAGAATGGTTTAAAAATCGTTGCAATTCAGAACTATGGGTCAATTTTCTGACTAGCTGATATTTACAGAACTTGAGTAATCAGTCACAAGATTAGCATGAGAGCCCCATGAGTTTCTGTTGAAAGACCATATATATTTTTAAATAGCGTATTTTTCTAAGCAAGGAGCCGGGTTTGGTGGCATCGCTGATTATGCCCTGGGCTGCTAAGCACAAGGGCAGCAGTTTGAACCCACCAGCCTCTGTGGGAGACAGAGCTGTCTGCTCCTGTAAAGATTTACAGCCTTGGAGACCCTAGGCAGGGAGCTGCTCGACTCTACCTTATAGGGCCTCTATGATTGAGTCAGCTCGATGGCAGTAGAGCTTTTTTGGTTTTGTGTTTTGTATTTTTTTTCTAACCTGCAGACTTCTTGAGACTGGATGATCCGTTTACAAACTTTTGAGACGAAAGAGTCAATCCTATTCCTCACAACAATTTAAAAACCATTCAAGGGCCATAAATATCGTTTTACCAACAAATGAAATCACCATTACCTGAATAATATTCCTTAAATATTTTCCACTTTACTTCAGAGCCACATGTACGTACCAAACCACAGTTTGCCAACCCCTAGCATAGTCAACAAAATGCAAACAACATCTTTCTGGTATTCTCTTCTTTCATCCAAGATCCGTCTGACATCAGCAATGATACCCTTTCTTCTACATCCACTTCAGAACCTCTGGCCTCTTGATGATCTTCAGCAACATTTTACTTGTATGTGATACTAATGATACTGTTCTATAATTTGAAGATTCTTGGAGATAGGTACAAAAATCTCTTCCAGACACTTGGCCAAGAAACTGTCTTTCAAATTTCTTGGCATAGACAAGTGAGTGCTTCCAGTGTTCCATCAACTTTTGGAAACATTTCAAGTGGTATTCTATCAATCCCCGGATCCGTGGTTGGGGCTAATGCTTTCAGTACAGCTTGAACTTTTTCCTTCAACACTCTTGGTTCTTGAAATGGTTGGATGTTGACTAGTTCTTTTGGGTCCAGTGACTCTGTGTATTCTTCCCATTTTCTTTTGATACTCCTTTCATTACTCAATATTTTGCCCATAGAATCTTTCAATATTGCATCTCGAGACTTGGATTTTTTCTTCTTCAGTTCTTTCAGTGTAATATATGCTGAGCATGTTCTTCCTTCATGGGTTTTCTAACTCTGCATCTTTGCACATTGTATTATAATCATTGCCTTTGTCTTCTCTCGCTGCCCTTTGAGTTTTTCTGTGAAGCTCTTTGATGCCTATCCTTTGGAGCCCCGGTGGTGCAGTGGTTACACACTGGGCTGCAATCGATGTTCTACTCCCGTAAGCACTTATAATCTCAGGAATCCACAAGGGGTCTCTATGAACCAGCATTGACTCACTGGTAAGGAGTACTCTTTGACTAGAGCAAGTTTCAGAGTCTCTTGTGACTTCCACTCTGCCTTTTCCTGCTTTCCTGCCTTTTTAGCGACCTTTGCTTTCTGCGTGATGTTCTTG